AGACAAGCAACCCAATTAAAAAATGGGCAAAGGACTTGAACAGACACTTTTCCAAGGAGGACATACAGAGGATTCAGAGACACATGAAAAGATGCTTAATATTGCTAGCTATCAGAGAGATGCAAATTCAAACCACAGTGAGATAGCACTTCACACCAGTCAGAATGGCCATCACAAACAAAGCAAAACAAACAAGTGTTGGAGACGTTGTGGAGAAAAGCAGACCCTAGTGCACTGTTGGTGGGATTGCAGACTGGTACAACCACTATGGAAAACAGTATGGAATTTTCTCAGAAAACTCAAAATGGATCTGCCTTTTGACCTAGCAATTCCACTGCTAGGATTATATTGTAGGAACCCTGAAACACCAATCCAAAAGAACCAATGCATCCCAATGTTCATAGCAGCACAATTTACAATAGCCAAGTGTTGGAAGCAACCTAGGTGCCCATCAGTAAATGAAAAGATCAAAAACTATGGTACATTTATACAATGGAATTCTATGCAGCAGAAAGAAAGAAGGAGCTCCTACCCTTTGCAACAGCATGGATGGAACTGGAAAGCATTATGCTAAGTGAAATAAGCCAGGTGGTGAAAGACAAATACCATATGATCTCACCTTTAACAGGAACCTAAACAACAAAGCATAGACACAAGCAAAATATAACCAAAGACACTGAAATAGAGAACAGGCTGACAGTGTCCAGAGGGGAGAGGAGAGGGAATTTCAGGAAAAAGGGGAAAGGTTTACAGGAACAAGTATAAAGGACACATGGACAAAAACTAGGGGCAGGTGGAAATGGGAGGGAGGTGGGGAGGGATAGGTGGGTGGGCTGGGATGGGAGTAAAAGATAGAAAACTGTACTTCAACAATTAAAATAAAATTAAAAAAAAGAAGCACAAATTGGTAGGTACAAAATAGGCAGATGTTAACAACAGTATAGGAAATGGAGAAGCTAAAGAACTTATATGCATGACCCATGGACACGAACTAAGCGCAGGGGGTATTGTTGGAGGTAATGGGGTACCAGGTGGAGGAGGGCAAAGTGGGAAAATTGGGACAACTGTAATAGCATAATCAATAAAGTAAAATATATTTTAAAAAGAATTACTTAAGAAATCAGAAAAAATGGTATTGTTAAAAAGTTCTATAGTTGAAAGCTTGCCTGAAAGACACAGACAAAGGGAGGGGTCCTTGGGCTCTTGATCTGGTCCAAGTTTAATAAGCTCCTTGGGCTTTCTTCACAATTCTAGTGGAACCAATCAAAAGAAAGTCATGCCCCTTTTGTCCTCCTGACCCCATTCAATCGTATAGCAACAGGCTTTAACAATCACAGAACAAAAATCTCATTGCCCAGTTTAACCTTCCAAGCCCCAGAGCTGTATGGTCTGTTAATCCAGCCCACAAAAATATCCCTGCTGCCTTTTATTTTTCCCCAGGCTGGCACAGTTTTGAGCTCAACAGCTGATTAGCTCTGGAGCGTTCCAGCAGTGCGCAGGGGCCTCCAATGTTTATTTAGCCGGCTGCTGGCTTTGTCAGGGGCCCCCTGGAGTAGGCTTTGAGCACACTCTTCAGCAGAAGAGCCATGTACAGGAGCAGCTACGTCTTCCAGGCCCAGAAGGAGCGGTACGAGCACTCGGAGGAGGTTCCCGACTGCCTGTCGGAGGGCCCCGCCACCACGCCTAACCTGGCAGCACTGAAGGAGCTCGGGCAGCGGGTAGCTGCCCAAGTCCAACGGGCCCGTGCGCTGGAGCAACGCCATGGCGTACTCCGGCGGCAGCTGGACGCCTTTCAGCGCCTGGGCGAGCTGGCCTTTCCCGAGGATGCCCTCATCCACCAAGTCGAAGGCAACCGCCAGCGCACTAGGGATCTGGCGGCTGAGCGCGCCCGACTGGAGCACCAGGGCGCGGAGGCGCAGCGCGCTCTCGACCAGTACTGTAGCAAGTAAACGTTGTCGTGGGGGGGGGGTGGGGGGGGGGAACTGAGGCAGGGCAGGGGGCGGGGGTGGGGGGGTGGGGGGCACCCGCGGCGCGGATCGGAGAGCAGGCTCCCACCCAAGGTTAGAGAGCCATCTCTGGCTTCTGGTCATCATCCCTGCGGAAGGCTGGGGCATGCACGCGGTGCATTTGCCTCAGATGAGATTAGTATCTATTTTGATGGCACTTCACAGTTTACATGAAATGTTATCATTTACATTTAATGTGTTTAAAATATAGGTATAATTTACATATAATAACAGGCACAGATTTAAAGTACGTAGTTCAGTGGGTTTTGACAAATGTACATACCCATGTAGCTACCAAACAAGCAAGATGTTTCCTCTGCCCTAGAAAGTTCCCTTCTGCCCTTTCCAAGTCAATCTTCAATTGTCATCCTGAACCACCCCCAATCTCAGAAAAACCCAGAGTCATCCAGTGTTCTCATTTCTATTGCCTGTTCTAGAATTTCACAAAAATGAAATATTACAGATGTACTCTTATGTGTCTAGCTTCTTTTGCTCAGCACAGTATTTTTGAGATGCATTAATGGTATTTAATTCTCACAGCCAGTTATAGATGGTATTGCCTGCACCTATTCAACAGATGAGGAGACTGAGGTTCACAAAATGTAGGGATTTGGAACAAGGTCACTCAGCTAGTGAATTGCTGCACTAGGACTGGGTTGAAGTGTTGGACAGGCTAAGTCTAAATTGTTTTCAACACATCACAACTAACACCTGGAAATTGCTATTCAAAGTGTGGTCCATGAACCAGCAGCATTGGCATCACCCAGGAGTTGGTTAGAAATGGAGACTCTTGGGCTCATTGCAGAGCTTCTGAAACAGAAGCTGCATTTTAACAAGGCTTACTGGTGATTGATAGTTGAAGAAGTTTCAGAAGCTTTGGTCTGGGGCATGGCTCCACTTCTGCCAGACTGAATAATGCATTAAAATGAGCCATTAAAAACCAAAAGGATACTCAGCAATTTGTCAACATCTTTTCAAGTTATAAATGTGTGTGCTCTTTGACTCAGCATGGCCATTTCAAGGAATTTACTCCAGCAAATGTCAAGTTTATATATATCTCTAGGGATATTCACTGCTGTGTAATCTGCAGTAGCAAAAGCCTGGCAGTAACCTAAATGCCTATTGGTAGTAGGCAGTTTGTAAAATTGTGCTTCATTCATGTAATGGAATACTATGCAATTGTGAAAACACAAGAATAGTGTGTTATTGTCATTTATTTTAAAAAGAAAGGAAGAGAGTAGAAATTTTTTGCTTGCATAAGGAAAAAAGATGCAAATACACACAAAAAACTAATGACAGTGGCTACACTGGGGGATAAGGGAGTAGGATCCGGGAGACCAAAGCAGGAGGAGGACTTTAACTGAACATCCTTTTATGTAGTTTAAAAATACTGTCTAACCATATAAGAGGTTTATCCATTTAAAAATTATATAAGTTAGCCCTGGCTGACATAGCTCAGTGGATTGAGTGTGGGCTGCGAACCAAAGTGTCACAGGCTTGATTCCCAGTCAGGGTACCTGCCTGGGTTGCAGGCCATTACCTTCAGCAACTGCACATTGATGTTTCTCTCTCTCTTTCTCCCTCCCTTCCCTCTCTAAAAATAAATAAATAAAGTCTTTAAAAAATTATGTAAGTTAATTTAAAATATATAGATACTCAGGTTCTACCCTGGACCTCAGGTGGGACCCAGGAATTTTAATTTTTTGAGCTCCATTAGTAATTCCAGTGAACACCTTGGCCTAGGGTAAACCAGAGGGCTTTCTTTAAATATGTTCTCTGTTTGAGTTCCACATTCTCAGTACAAATCTTGGGCAGGTTATTCAACACTGTGTACTGAGAATATTTATCAGATCAAATCATTGCTTCTATTCCTATCAGTCCTTCTGTTTCTGGTTTTGATTCAGAGTATCTTATTTGAAGCTGGAAAAAGGGACTCGAAAATTCACCTGTTATAGTCCTTCATGGGAAAACTGAAGCTTGAAGAGGGCCTTTGGGTGGCAGAATTTCAACTCAAGTTTTCTTGCCCCAGGTCTATACTCTTTCTAGAACACTGTTGTTGAGAGAAGTCATTCTTGGACTCCTGTGGAGTGAGGTCCAGTGATAGGACTAGACCTCATTCAGATGAAGCTCACATTTTCTACAACAAAGGGAAGTGCTTGCTGATTCAGACACCTAGCTCCATGGGTAATAGGAGCCCCTAGATCCCCAGATGGCCTTTACCTGGTCATTAGACCAGGGCCTGCTGTGATGTGCTGGGCAAGCACTACTCCCTTGAGCCCCTGATAAAGAAATGGCCATACTGATGTTTCCTGATTTCACTTGGTTCTGAGTTATATCTCCACCATGGTGCAGTCCTTTTAGGTTTTGTAATTTATTTAATAATTTCCATAAGTTTATTTCCTCTCTTGCTCCCTATGGGAAGTTTCAATATTCTGACTGGGATAGTGGGATTTGAAAGTTATTATAAAAGCAATTAAAGCCATAACCATTCATACACATGAATATACACACACCAGGTTGGGTTTCGCATTCCAGAGGGGAGCTGATGGCTAGCCAAAGCAGGTGAAAATAATACAGAAAGAGGAAGGTATATACAGCCTTGTTAGGTATATTTACTACTTGAATAGTTTAATAATTTCAAAATCAGGTTTTTAGCATGTCAAAGACTCAATATAATCAAATCAAATAAAAACAAATAAAACCATCAAAATACAATGATGAATATAGTCAACTGTCCAAATTGCTGAAAACCAAAATAATTATGTACAATCAGATAATTGAAGCCAAAGCATTTTGTCACTTTATTGGATGTGAAAGACTTTGGGAAGCAGTGGGCTTGGAAATGCAGCATCAGCTTCTGCTATAACATTAGGAACCCCTTCTAAAAGAGAGGGCATAGTACTCATATTGTATTACATTTAATGCTGATTGTGTGATCAACACTTGTGGAATTATGGAAGCTGCCCAGCTTTCACTTATGTGTCCAATTTGCAGGTATGAAAATGAATGTGAATGTCAACTGCTGCTAAAGGAAATGCTTGGGCGTCTTAACAAGGTGAGCTGAGTGTGTCCTTGGGTTTGAGTAGATTAATAACAGGACTGAACTAAATAGCCATGATGAGTGTTTTCCACACCTCCTCTTTTGTTATTTTAAGATCCACCTCTTTCTTTTGCTGTCACTCTCTTTCTTGACTTTGTAATTTCAGCTAAATCTTTGTGTGAACTCACACACACAGACACACATTCCTCTACCACAAGATACAGGATCTTGAGAGAGAACCTAGACTATTAAGTTTATTGCTTGTGCTGGGCTATCAAAATGTGCCAGCATTACAGTGACTGGTTTTGTTTTGCAATTCAGACATCCTGTTCACAAACACCAAATTTAGGAGGGAACTTACTTTGGGCAGTGCGATTATTTGGATGCAATGATACCTCTATCCTTTTGGCTAAGAATCTTAAGATTACAGGAAAACTTTCAAGAGAGCAGTGGGGAAAAATTGTTTTAAAGATTTTATTTATTTTATTTTTAGAGAGGGGGAGGGAGGGGAAAGGAGAGGGAGAGAAACATCAATGTATGGTTGCCTCTCGTGTGCTCCCTACTGGGGACCTGGCCCACAACCCAGGTATGTGCCCTGGCTGGGAATCAAACCAGTGACCCTTTGGTTTGCAGGTCAGCACTCATTCCACTGAGCCACACCAGCCAGGGCACAGTGGAAAAAATTTCCATTTCCCCTGAAACTCTTCACTCTTGAAGTAGCCACGTGGGGGACACCAAGGATTCTTAGCTGCTTGCTGGAGACCCTCCTGCAGAGGTTGTTTGGGGTTCTTTGCAGGGAGAGCTTCCTTCTACTGATCCTCCATTATCCTGGCAGCTTAGACTATTTTGCTTATCAGGAGAACCTGACTACCAAATAGCAGACTGATCCTGGACCACAGAGGCTGGATAAATCAAGGATAATTATCCTTTCCTGATCATTTCAGAGTTCGAATGTCAGAGCAGAAGGACCCATGGAGACTGTTTAGCTGAAGTTTAGTTGAAGGGTTTCTTGTTCAGGGCACATGGCTGCCTTTCACTCCTATCCTCCCTGCCCATAACCTCATCAGAATTGCTGATAAAACACTCTTCCTTCCCTCTGTGCCCAGATGTGGCCTTAAGATTCTTTTCTACATGGAACTCCAGGCAACCACTTCAGATAGTCAGGGTTAGCTCAGGATTCTTGGTTTCTGTGGCTTTGTCCAACCTCAGTTGTCTAGGATTATTCGGCTGGTCAGTGGGAAAGTCAGAAGTAATATCTGGGAAAACTGAATTTTGCTTTGTCTGTGTTACCTACCATCTAATACTTGTGTGCCCTTTTCTGTCTGAGCATATAAGGTATTGTCCAAACTAGGACACTGTGAAAGGAGGTGCAGTTTGTGTGATAGAAACTGGGACTGTCTCATGCCCACTGGAACATAGGAGCACCCCAGTACAAACATAAAGGTGGGGTGAGAGTGTGCTTCAGTGACTGGCCTTGTATCGATCGTTGTGATGTCCCCAAGCCTGTTGGAAGTCTGAGATGGGATATGGGCCTTAGTAACATCTGACATTAACCAGCTGTTCTGCTGACACTAGCAGTTCATCCCATTTTTGTTTTGGTGGTTATCCCAAGTTGCCAGATAGGGCTTCCATCTTGACCACAGACCACCTAACGCAGAGGACTTGATTTGAAGGTGATGGCCTTCAGGTAAAGGCCAATCTAGCTCCTCCCCAACACTCCCATCCCAAAGTGTTTTGGTTTGAGTGTTTGTCCTTGCTGGATGAAGAACTCTCTCTGGAGTTACCTCTAAGGTTGTCACTCATCTGGTGTCATCATGTGCTTTCCTTTAATAAGGTAAGTGACACTGGATTTAAAAACAAGCTCAAGCCTTCTGCTGTTTTTCTTTTACTACAAAACCAACATATATTCTCAGTAGAAAAATAAGATAGTAGAGATAATGAAAAATAAGGGAAATTTGCATCCTATCATTTCCCTGCTCCGAAAACACAGCTGTAACACCTTTATGTACATTGTGACAGCATGTGATGATTGAAGTATCAACCCTGTGAGAATGTTACAAAAGGTTCTGGGGAAATATGCTACCAAGAACATGAGTAAGGGCCAGTTCAGGACATCGTGGTGACTGTTACCTGGGTTGAAGGAAAGACACTTCTGCCCACACTGGGATGTGCTGTACAAAAAGGAGTGCTTGTTAATAGGACACTTCACACCACTGCTGAGTATCTGTGAGAATTTGGATGAATTGTCTCATCTCTCAGCCTCAGCTTCTTCATCTGTGAAATGGGAACAATAATAGTTTGCACCAGCATAGGAGCAGATGTGTTCATTTTTCTGTTTGTTTTACCAAAAGTGGTGTCGTTCCCAGGCTAGACGGAGAGACGATGGTGCCCTATTGAGCCAATCTCGTGAGCTGGCCACTAGATTCCTCTTTGCTTCCAGATGGAAGGGACCAGTGTCCTTGTGTCTTCCCACCCTTAGCCTTAGCCTCGTCTTCGCCTGAATGTTTGTTGGAATGGGATTGGGTGAACTACAACTCACGGCTCACTTCCCACCTTGCAATGGACAGAGAGTGACTTCCGGAAGTGGAAGAGGACCTGTGCCTACTGAGAATTAAATGACGTAATAGTGTATGTGACTTACCTGTCATGGTTATTAGTACAGAGCACTTGATGTGATGGATGCCAGCTTAGCTTTCTCCAGAGGGTGGGGTACATAACTCTGGTGCAGGGAGAGATGATCTTAGATGGTGCATGGAGGAACAACTTTTTAATAGTTGTGCATTTATTTTTATGATTACCTTTCCTTACAGCAGGTGGCATAAAAAAGTTTCTTTTAAATACATGCAAGAAAGAATGAATCAATTTGAAGAAAATACAGGGTGTTTGAATGATGCAATAAGTGGTACTCGGATAAAGCAGAAATCACGAACACAGTATGCAAATGCACCGAGTTGGGAAGTCCTTGCACTAGCTTGTAGGAGCCTTGGAACAGCCTTGTGGTTGTTGGTTCACCCCCAGAGATGACCCAGTCTAGCCCCCTCCCTTTGCTAGTAAGGAAACTCACCCTTGGTGGAGTTAAATAACTTCAGAGGCTCCCCACCCACCTGTGGCAGATACAGGCAGGAGTAGAGTCTTTGTGTCCATGGATTATTCTCCACTCCCCAAGGATAGTCAGGGAACCTCTGTCTCCCATGAGACAGGCACAAAGCTAGTGTCTCTGGGTAAAGATGGCCCCTCCACACTTGATATGCCCTGTCCATCTCCCCTGGGCCACCCCCAAGGTCACTCAGACATGCTGAACACACTGGCAACTTCCTGTATCTCTCTGGCTATTATGGGAATGTGTGTGATCTGCAGGAGGCACAGTCCAGAGTGTGGGAATTAGCACCCCACAAGTGACCCTCAGCCACTGAGGGACAGGAGATGGGTGAGTCCTTCAGCTGGCCCACCCCTTATAGCAACACTTCAGAGGTGAGTTTTCTAGTCTCTCGGTTGTCCAGTGTGATGACCTGCTTATTGCATACTTTTACTTTCTTTCTTTCTTTCTTTCCCTGTATCACTCCTGCCTCCCTTACTAGTACTTCTGGAATCACCTCTCAGAAAAATGACATGTTCCCAATCCTTGCCTTGGGGTCTGCTTCTGAGGAACCCAATATAAGACAGCCCCTCTAGGGTCAGCAGGTGAAAGCTGGACCTTCAGGTTCTCTCTCCATTGAGGTCCTCAGATGAGAAGAAGGAGGTGAAATGGAAGAGTAACATTCATATCTTGCTGGCTGGTCATATCAGTGATTTTGGTTGACAAATCTTTGAATGTCTCTGCACATCAGATCAATAAGGTTTTGACTGTGAATTCAGTCTTAGTGCTCATTTCCTTTTGTCTTAAGGAAGGGATTTACCCCTGAATGTGGCCATGGGAAATGGGGTACAGCTCAGATCATTAACCTAGACTTAAATCTTGCTTGGAAAATACCATAGTGTGTGTGATAGCACTGTCACATTATTAGCATTATTTTCACAAAACTTCTATCTATTAATATTTCCCATGTAATTAAATCTCCATTTAAATAATGAGTTACTGTATTTTTAATAGCAAGTAAACTAGAGCAAGCCACTATTTGCTATGCACTTTGAAATGAAGTAAATTCCTCAACATACCACTAACAATATAGCCCAAGTTATTCAGATTTGAAGACTTTTAATGTAGCAAGAGTTCCTGACAACTTTTAAGTATTTGGGTTTGACTAACCTCTAAGACTCATTGTACAGTGTCTGGCAGAAGTAACCTGCCTGCTTGAGTGTGGTTGGTAGTGTAATAATATGGGTGCAATAATTTATAGTTTTAATTTGAACATTTCCCCTAAAATGTCATATGGTGTGCTTGAGTATGATATCATTACATTACAGAATTATATGGTTATGATTTTGTAATAAAAGAAGGGGCATTATTTGTGCCAGACATTGGAATCATTGTGTGTGTGTATAAATAAAATATATATAGTATCACATCTCGATATTATATTTAGGTCTAATATATATATATATATATATATATATATATATATATATATATCCCAATAATGCCTGATTTTGCTTATCTTAAGAAAATTGTAGGGAGCAGGCTTTATTTCTTTGCCTTTTTTTCTTTGAAATCCCCAGAATTTAAAAATGATGTAGGCTCTAGTCAACATACCCTGCGGACACGCCATGCCTTTCTCCAGGCCAGCCTGAACCCCTGGGGCAAAGTGACTAGAACATTTTTGGAAAGGTTTTTGACATCCAGGATGAAAGTTGATGTCTTCTTTTTAAATTAAACATAATTAACTAGGAATCTTAATGAATTTGAATACTTATTCTTTAGCAGTTTTTGTTGTTTTTTTTAATTTGTTTTTGAGTTGGGCTGCTCAGAGGTTGGATTTGAGGCTGAGTGTAGATACAAACAGCAGGATTTTTTTTAAGCCTCACCTGAGAATTTGTTTCTATTAATTTTAGAGAGGGAGGAAGGGGGTGGTGGAGGGAGAGATACAGAGGAACATTGATGCGAGAAAAAAACTAATTGGTTGCCTCTCGTATGTCGTCTGACCAGGGATGCAACCCACAGCCTTTTGGGATATGAGATGATGCTCCAACCAACTGAGCCATCAGCCAGGACAGACAGAGGCTAGTGGGATTTTTAATGAATTTTTAGCATTTCTATGAGTGGGTTGGCAAGGTTGATTTTTCAAGGGTACATTGGATTCTAGTTATTTCTCTAGACCCTTCCTCAGTAGTAGTTTAGACCAGTGGCTCTGAAACTTCTGTGTGAATTCACATCACCTGTAGTGCATGTTAAAACACAGATTGCTGGGCCCTGATTCCAGAAATTCTGATCCATTAGGTCTGGGAACTGCCAAAAATATAACATTTTAAATTATTTTCCAGGTAGTGTGGTTCAGGGAAGACACTTTGAGAACCACTGACCTCGATCTAAAACACACACCATATCAGGGTTGGAATGTTTCCTAAAACTAGACTATTGACCCAGAGTCTTGATTTGGAAAAATCTAGACGCTCCTGCTGGTGGAGCATTAAAAAGTGCCTTTGACAGCATTCAAAGTACAAAAAAAATACAAGTGTCTGCACATTTCTAAGCTCCACTGCAAACAAAAGAAAACACTTCCAAACAAATTCTTCTCAACATACCAGCAACTGCACATTCCAATGGCACCTACTTACATTTGGGGTTTTCTGGGTCAGTTTATCAGCTGATTGTCTTCAAAGGAAGAGAATGTGCTTGCAGAAGCATCTGGTTTATCTTTCTTTTGAGCACAAATGTCTGGGCTTTTATTATTTCCATGAGCAGTTTTAGAGGGTTGGCTGGTGGGACCTACACATGGTTGTCTTGGCATGATCCTAAGAGGGAGCTGGGAGCAGAATGACTGCTGAGGATGGGTTGGGCAGAGAATTCCCAAACATCTTAATTTTTATCAAAAATTCATCCATAATTGATACATAATTACTTGAGCTGAAGAACAAAATTGGATTTCAACGACCCCCTGTGTTATTGCTAATAAGGGGATCAAATACTCAGAACTTTAGAAACAGAAGGGACCCTAGAAGTCACTGATTCTCAAACTTTGTAAAACTACATCCTTTCACCAAAATATTCTAGAGAAACCAATGTACAGGGCTAAAGCAGAGATGCTTTTCTTAAGGACATGGTGGTGGGACAGGCACCCCACCTACCCAGCAACCCTCTACCCTCAGAGCCCCTTCAAGCAACTCCCTGGAACCTGAGAGCTCTGCAAAATGCAGCTCAGTAACTAGTCTGCCCTCACAGATGGGGAGACTAAGGCCAGACTTCCCAGTCGGTCACGTATTCAAGAGCTAGTTAATGAAAATTAACAGAAGACAATGGGACTAGAATCCGCCTTGGACTTCTCTGTACTAGTCAAGAGTTAAGTACAGAGTTCTTATCCAACCCTCTGAGATACTGAAGGCCAGCTGAGGGACTCACCCATCTCCTGTCCCTCAGTGGCTAAGGGTCACTCCTGGGGTGCTAATTCCCACACTCTGGACTGTGCCTCCTGCAGATCACACACATTCCCATAGCCAGAGAGATACAGGAAGTTGCCAGTGTGTTCAGCATGTCTGAGTGACCTTGGGGGTGGCCCAGGGGAGATGGACAGGGCATATCAAGTGTGGAGGGGCCATCTTTACCCAGAGACACTAGCTTTGTGCCTGTCTCATGGGAGACAGAGGTTCCCTGACTGTCCTGCCTGTACCTGTGTCTGGTACAGATTGGCTCTGGATCTTGTGGTCCTTCCTTCCTTCTGTCTTGTCACCCAGTGTTGGCATCCCTGGTACCCATGAAAAGATTTCAACATCTTCAAAGGAAAGGATTTGGTAACTGTAAATTAGAGTATAGAGAGACTGGGGAATCACCCTGGAGCAGAAACCTGGCCCACTGTGCCTAAAATTAATTCTACAGAGCTGTGTTGTCCAGACTGGGAGCCACTGTCTGTGCATGGTTGGGAGGGATTGAAATGCAGACTATTCAAATTGTGATGTGTCATAAAGTGTAAAATATATGTGTTTTAAAGATCTAGCCTGAGAAAAAGAATATAAACTACTCAGTAATAACTTAAAAATATTGATTACATGATGAAATGTCAATATTTTGGGTATATTGGGTAAAAGAAAATATTAAAATTACTTTCACCCATTTCTTTTTATTTTATTTAATGGATCTACTATAAAATTTAAGATGCCTGAGGCTTGCTGTTTTGGAATAACTTATTTAATTTTTACTTGCATAAATCAATGCAAAAAGGAATACTTTAATATACATTTCTAAAGGTTGCAAGTTAACTGATTTGATCTTGTAGTACTCTTAAGTTCTTTAAGGTAAAGTCAGAGTTCTTTTTAGTAGATAAAATAGCTTCAGAAGTTTGAGTTGGGTAAGGGTTAGCCAGTCCTCTACAATCTTGCTGATGTTTCAGACCATATTCATACAGGCATGTATTTCTTAAGTAATGATCATTTTGCTGTCAACCCTAAAAGTTTATACAGCCTGTTTTATAGATTCCACAAAGTCCTGTATCTTCAATGTTTTAGGTGCTAAGGCAACACTTTGCATGAAAAGTTCATTCAAGGCAGGTGATCCAAGAGTCAGAATCCTGGTATCCTTATTGTCAGCATCAGATGTTCTCATATCTTCTTTCTCCAGTGGTCTTTTATAAGAACAACTAAGGAATCAAGTGTCTTTTGTAAGAGAGCAGTCCAGAGGCCTTCCCAGAACCTAACCCTATTAGTGCAATGGTGGGAGTGTCTCAAAATACCGTAACCAGTCCACATACCTGACTCACTTTACTCTGTTCATGCCGGAGTGGAGAGAATATTAAATATTTTAGCCAAACCATGTATCTACCTTTATTAATGAGAGCTCATTACTAACATCTGCCATGCTTTTTAACAAGTCATTAATAAGTCAGTAAAAATTCACATAGCAAGGCCTCAGGTATTGGCAGGTGTGCATGGGAGAGGTGTATCAGGAGAGTGACAATCTTGAGGAACCCAAGTAATGTTTACCTGTGATATGGAACTGGACCACTGAAGTATTTAAGTCAACTCCAGTCATCATAGCACTATCTTAAGAGCATAAGCAGCTCTTCAACCTAGTTTATCCAAACAGGATCAATGAAAGAAAAATTGGTGTATTAATAAAAAAGTTTGGCAAGAACATTCAACCTTCTCTCATATATGTCATTTCTAACTTTAAAAGAAAAAAATACTGTTCCCCACAGCAATCATTCTTACAAAATGCATTATAGGTACATAGTCTCAGGGTGAGACATAGTCTTTGGGAGAAAATTATTAAATTGAAGGTTTTGATGTTAAGGGAAAACTATTTTTTAGTTTTAGAAACTTAACTCAATGATGATGAGATATAGAACAAGTATAGCTGTAACTTAAATTTTAAGATTATTGGTATGTAACTATACCCTAACTTTGTCACTGTATCAAGGTTTCTCAACCCTGGCACTATTGATATTCTGGAAGGTATGGCTGTCCTGTGTATTGTAGGATATTTAGCAGCATCCTTGGCCTCTACCCACTAGATGCCAGTAGTAATACCCCACCACCCAAGTGGTGACAATAAAATGTCTTCAGGCATTGCCCAATGTCCCTTGCAGGGCAAAAGTCACTCCCCAATGAGAACTACTATTATAGACCAGGTCCAATCAGCTAACCCAATGCCCTTCTAGAAATGCAGAATCTTTAAACATTCCAACATCCGAATTATAGGGGTACCAGGAGGAGAAGAGGAAGAGCCAGAAATTGAAAACTTATTTGAATAAATAATAAAGGAGAACTTCCCCATTCTGGAAATGGGGAAGTTCCCCATTCTGCAAAGGAAATAAACTTCCAGGAAGTCCAGGAAGCTCAGAGAGTTCCAAAGAAGTTGGACCCAAGAAGGAACACACTAAGGCACATCATAATTACATTAACCAAGGTAAAAATGAAGGAGAGAATCCTAGAAGCAGCAAGAGATAAGGAGACAGTTACCTACAAAGGAGTTCCCATAAGACTGTCAGCTGATTTCTCAAAAGAGATCTTACAGGCAAGAAGGGGCTGGAAAGAAGTATTCCAAGTCATGAAAGGGAAGGACCTACATCCCAGATTGCTCTATCCAGCAAAGCTACCATTTAGAATGGAAGGTCAGATAAAGTGCTTCTCAGATAAGGTCCAGTTAAAGGAGTTCATCATCGCTAAGCCCTTATTTTATGAAATGTTATAGGGACTTATCTAAGAAAAGAAGATAAAAAAAAACATGTATAGTAAAATGACAGCACACTCACAATTATTAACAACCACACCTAAAACAAAACCAAAAGAAACTAAGCAAACAACTAGAACAGGAACAGAACCACCGAAAGGGAGATCACATGGAAGGTTAGCAACAGAGGAGTGGGAGGAGGAGAGAATAGGAAAAGGTACAGAGAATAAGTAGCATAGATGATAGGTAGAAAATAGACAGGGGGAGGGCAAGAATAGTATGGGAAATGTAGAAGCTAAAGAACTTAAGACACATAGACATGAACTAAAGGGGGGCAATGTGGGTGGGAGAGGGTGTACAGGGTGGAGAGGAGTGAAGGGGGGAAATGGGACAACTGTAATAGCATAATCAATAAAATATAATTAAAAAAAGAAATGCAGAATCTTCAACTCCTTCCAGAGCCACTGAACAACAATATGCTTTTTAATAAAACTTCAGGTGGTCTGTGGGTACACACACCTGGCCAATTTTACACCCATCTTGGATGCCTTCACTGTGCCCCTGCAGATTCGGATGTGTGACACTTTCTTATTGCAGGAAGCTGATGAAGCCTTACTACATAATCTGCACCTTCAGATTGAAGCCCAGTTTCTGCAGGATGATATCAGTGCAGCAAAGGACATGTACAAAAAGGTAACTATGACTCTTCTGAAGCTCTTCTAGGAAAAAACCCAGTTCAGGTTTGGCTAGGTAGTTGAGGGCACTCATGGCTGAAGAGTGAAACTACTACAGTGGGTCACTTTCGTGTGCTTTACTCCTGAATTAAGTAGGTGATGGGTTGGTTGCTAGACAGCTCTTAGTGAGCCAGACGTGTAGAGGAGGCAATAGTGTGTTTGTGTTGGGTGTGGTGTTGGGAACTAATATCTGTATAGTATACTACAGTTCACAGCATGATTTTTTAAAAATAAATCTGTCTTGGTTAAGCTACAACCTGTTGATTGTTTCAGCTCAAAAATGCAGAAAAGCAGAAAATACAATATAAAGGGTCCAGCACAAATAACACCCCTTTTTTTATTACAAACTCTTTTATTAAAAAATCATAAGCATGTGATTCTGTAACATAACACTATCACACGCAAGCACAACATATGACATTTTAGGTGAAATGTTCAAATTAAAAGTATAAATTATTACACTCATATTATAGCTCTACCAACCACACTGAAGCAGGTGTTACTTTTGCCAGTCCCTGTTTATATGTATTTTAACTCTTCCTCTGAGCCAGTTAATTGAGGGAATGCATGGCATTCAGGAGCCTCCTTTTATGCAATGGTCTTCTCTGCCAGCTTCTTACAGACCTGATTTGTGTGTGGGGGAGCTCTTTGATATACTGAAAAAAATCAAATTCTGGACCTGTGTGATCAGGGCCAAGTAGCTTAACATCTCTGAGCTTTTTTATCTTCAAAATACAAATGACAGACTATCTTTCCTGCATGGCAGTGTGGTTACTTCAGTGAGGCTGACCTGTGGCCACGACCTTTTGGGCTGACCTCTCCAGTGGGCTCTGGCCTCCCTCTAACTGCCAGTATCTGCAGCTCTGCTCTAGGACTTTCTACAGGAAGCAAGGACTGCTCTGTCTCATGGAAAGGGTTGGGAAATTCATGCCTCTGGGAGCAACCTTAGTCAGTGATGAATGTGACTTGCTCGATGTGTCCCCCAGCTCCCTCTTACCTGCTGTTCTGTACTGGTTTCCAGAGATCCACACTGAGTCTGACATGCAGGTGCCCACAGTGGTAACTTAACTGATAGCACACCCCTTCTTGGCTGCCTTCTCTTTCCTGTCTCACCTCCTCACTCTGCTACTCATGTTTACTGGTATCTTTGCCCAAGTAAGTTGTTTGCACTCAGAGTGTTTCCTTAGGGTCTGTACTTAGCTCTAGTTGCTATAACCAAGTACCACAGTTTGAGTGGCTTATAAGCAGCAGAAATTTATTTCTCACAGTCCTGGTGGCTGGGACACCAGAATCAGGGTGCCAGCCAGGTCAGGTTCTGGTGAGAGCTTACCTGGTGAGGCCTTTCCTAGGAGCATGTGTTTTTACCAGGAGCAAGCTCTCTGGTGCTTCTTCTTATAAAGGCACTAATTCCATCATGGATCCCCACCCTCATGACCATCTCTAAATGTAATTATTTCCCAAAGGCCCAACCGCCAAATACCATCTTACTGCATGTTAGGACTTCAGTGTGTGGATTTGGGAGGGACACAACATTGAATGTATAATAGTGTACTTCTGGGGAAACCCAAACTTGAGGCTATGTGATAATTCAGATGAAGCACCTGGTATAACCTGGACCTTGACCAGTGCTCATCAAGCCTAGATTCTTTTCCTGCCTCAGTGTGGACCTGCTTCAGCACGAAGGCAGTCCTCTTGCTTTGCACTGAAGGATGTTCCCGTCCCTTTGGCTTCTTCCAACTTTCCATCAGTCTGGTTCCTCCTCTCCCACCTTCCTGCCTCTGCTCTACTTCCTGGAATCCTGGGAGCAGTGCCTGGGGGCAGTTTTTAGTGGCTCAAAACATTCTTCTGGGCCATTAACAACAACAACAACAATAACAACAACAACAACAACAACATCAAGCATTCACTCTATGATGCTTCCATGCATTATCTCATTGGATCCCAACAGCAGCCTCATGAGATAGTGTCTTAGATCAAGTTTTCCCCATCAGCAGAGCCTAAGGTGGTGATGTGTGTGTGTGTGTGTGTGTGTGTGTGTGTGTGTGTGTGTGTGTGATTGCTGTTTGGGTGGAGAGTACCCAGGAGAAGGGGAAGGAGGAAGCAGAGTAGGATAGTGCAGGGGTAGGAACTGGGCAGGGGCCCAGGCCCAGCTGGATCCTCTGCCTGATGGGGATCTGGATCATGAGTCACATCACAAGGTTGTTCTCTCCTTGAGGCAAGAGTGTAGGTCTTTTGTACTCCTGTGCCAGCTAGTCACTGGCCTGGGTTGGGAATGGGTCCCCATTGGGAGCCTGAACAAGATAACCATTGTCTGGCCCAGGGCAGTGCTGTGGAGGGGGCACAGCTGAGAGACAGTATTAGTCCTCAGCACACAGCTGGGCATAGGTGCTCTTTAGATAACCCACTTTCACAGTACAGCCTGAGTTTGGGAGGTATAAGTAGCTGGCCCAACTGACCAAATTCTGTCCTTTGAAACACTGCCCTGTTCTGGTGTCAGAAAGGGTTCTTTGTACCCTCTGAGGCTTCTTTGTTCTGCATCTCTGCATTTCTTTCATACTCCTGCCTGCAGGGCTCTATGAAGAGCAATAAAGCATTCACTTAATGGAAGGGAAATGGTGAAGTAAATAAACCAAGCCTCAGTTTATTCATCTGCCCTGTTGATCCTGTGAAGATTAAAGGTGTAAAATGCCCTCTGCAGAGATCGTGGCCTGTCCTATTTGTGACAGTGGAACATGTGAAAGCATTCGTCCCTGGAGTCACCTAGTCCTGGGGGGAGAAACTCGGGCAGTGCAGGTTTTAATGAGAATGATTTCTTTCCTCCAACAGAATCTTCTGGAAATTCAGACCTATGTGAGCATTCTGCAGCAGATCATCCAGACCACTCCTCAAGCATCTGCCATTACAGATGGGATGCGGGAGGTAAGAATTGGAACCCAGGCTATAGGGAAAGCATAGCTGGAGATTTTTTTTTATAGCACTGTGGGCCTAGTTCACAGACATCCAGGGAGAGGCGGCAGGTCCAACAGTGTAGAGCTGTGGTGGGTTAACTCCTCCCCACCCTGACTTGACATACACATTGGAAGTTTTCTCTTGTTCTCCTATTCAGACTGTGAACACTTCCCTTTAGACATCTGAGGACATCTAAACTGTGTCCCTGACCATTTTCTTAGGAGTTTTCTCTTGAAAATCCCAGAGTGTTCTTCCTTGTATAGTTGATAGAAATTGCCAGACTGTCCCCCAATGTGGTGGAGCTTGGTGCATCCCCACTGGCAATGTTTGGGAGTTTTTGTTGCTTCGGTCATTTGCAGTGCTGGGTGTGTCAGGTATTTATTTGTTTTTGCTTGTTGCTCTTTTAATAGATATGTGGTGCATCTCACTGTGGTTTCAACTACCTCTCCTAGTGACTAATGATGCTGAACATTTTTTCATGTCCATATTTGCCATCTCTATATCTTCTTTGTTAGAATATCTGTTCAAGTCTTTTGCCCATTTTTAAATTGGGTTGTTTGTTTTCTTATCCCTCTTATGAGTTTGACCATAAAATTTGAATACGGAGAGACTCAAATAATAGTGACTATATTTTCAAGGTCTGGCTCTGCTAATGATTATGCAAGTTTATGGCTTAAAAATGATTGAGAAAAGATAGAGATTATTGAAGCTAAATTTTTAAAAATGAGGATTTGGATGTAAAACATTACTCCCTACATAGTGTTCCACATTCCTTTTCTACTCAGCTCTCTAGCTGCTCAACAGGGTTCTGATGTGTTTTTTCTTAATGAGTTTTAGGGATTTTGTGATATATAATATGATACATTTAAACATACACTGAAAAGGATGCAGATTAAAACAAAATGTCATTTTGTCCTTTTTCCAGAGGTTGTGGTATTCTGGAACAGGGATTTGTGGGTAGGTCAGCTGATAGGGTTCTGTTTTTTTGGAAGGGTGGCTTAGACAGTGCTTCGAGCCCTGCTGGCACCTGGAATTGCCTGGAAGTCTGGCCAGACCATACGCCACCTGTAGAACTAATGGGCTAGTGTAGCTGACTGCTTGAGTTTTAACTTAAATGTTTTAATATCAAAGCTAAAGAAATCCCCAAATTTGCTTTCGAAGATACTTGCCAAGTTTCTCCTAAGGGATAGGAAATTTACTTTTCTGGGCCTTCATTGGAATGTTTTTGTCCACTAATGTTCATTTCAGGTTCTGACTCTTTTCAGCTGATGTAACCGAGGCTGCTGCAAAGGCCTAGAGGAGCCTTTCCTAAAGCCTTAATTTTCTTTGTCAGCAACTTCTTTCCAGATACCTCATTTTTATTTTGCAAACACTTTTTTTCCCTGTAATTCCAAGGTGTTTTACACCAGAACACACTTTAAAAATCATATCATCCTTTCTCTGTAACAAAATTCTTCTAAATTGTGAGGTTATAGAGATTGGACTTCTTCTGAGAGCATCATTCATCATCAGTGTTTATTAGCATCACCCAGGAACTTGTTAGAAATGAATATTTTTCATAAGAATATGCATTTTAGCGAGATCTTTAGGGATCCATGTGCATGTTAAAGGTGGAGAAACAGATTTAGAAAGCATTACATTTTTTTATTAATCTTAGCTTAAAACCTGTGCATGCAGTTAAATGGTGACTTTCAGGTTTGTTTCATTGACTCTTGTTAGTGTCCTAGAAAATGTCTGTCACATTGGCTCAAATGAGGATGTAATTAGTGGTGTTAATTATAGGAACACAGCTTAACTGGTTAATGTGTCAATAAACATAATGTCAGTACCCTCTAACCAGAGGCCACTGGGTACACAACTGTGTTCACATGAAGCTGAGCTCATTTTCCACTGCAGGGAGGATGGGTATATACTGTGGAGACTTGAGGGGCATCCTGTGTGATCTGTGGGGAGGGGTCAGGTAAGTGGGGCCCTGCTCTGTGTTGGGTGCTCTCAGGAAGGGCTGGTCTTCTGACCGTCTTGATAATTTCTATCAAGGCGGTAGAGGAGTGGAGTGTGGCTAAAGCTGTACTTGGTGATTAAGCAGCATCTCTTGTGTCAGTAGGGAGAATGGGCGGTTGGCTGTTTTTGTGGTTGGATAGAGGTCTTTTGGTCTGAGCTCAGTTGTAGTTAGAAAGGGCCTTGTTTCTGTCTTGTTCCTCCATGGGCCCAGAGTGACATCTCTAGATATTGGGGATGGTATTGTTTATAAGTTTATAGTAGGGAGCATCATGGTTTGGCAGTTATTGTCAGCTACCAGCTGACAGCTGGTGGGCTGTCTTCCTTCCTCTTCAGTAATTATCTGAGGGACAACTACATGAGAGGCACCCTGTGGGCAGCTGTGGGGAGGGATGTAAGACAAATAGGAGCTGGGCAGTGAGGAAGATGAGACCAGAGAAGCAGGCAGGACGCTGGAGGGGGGCAGTGTAATGCATTCACACTGGGTTTGCCTCCACCCTGAGGCTGCAGGTCTAGAATTCATGGTGTGGAGTATATATCCTCCATCTACTGATACACAGGAGCACGACGCCCCTTCTGTTCCTAGCCATACTCTTGTCTGCATTGTTGAGGCAGGGAGATGGGGACTGAGACACACAAATAGGACAGACACAAGCCATCAGAGACTGAGAGCCACTGAGAGCCATTGAGAGCATGCATTCCCTCATGCACTAAGCACAGAACTAAGGACACACAGTTGAGAAGGTCCTTCTGTCTGCAGTTAAATCTCAAGTCCTGCCTTCCCCATGGGATCAGGCCACAGGCCCAGACTTTCTCTTCCTCCCTTTAAGCATGTCTGTCTTGCTCTATCTGTCTTCATGTCTATATTGTTGCTCCAGCCACTTTGCAGGGTGTTGGAGAGTAGGGGACTGCTTTAAACGTGTGGCCTTGAACATGGGTGCACTGGGAAAAGACTTGTTTCTGATTTTACCTGGCTGTGAGGCCTCACACTCTGTGTCAGATGGCACTGCTTTTTGAGTAGTCAGGCTTTCATGAAGCAATTTGGACTTTTTCGAATAGACTATGGAGAGGCCTGTTGGAAACAGGTCCCTGCTCTGCAGAGTGTAGAGACATTGAGGAATCCCCTTCCAAGACACTCTATGGAGCATCAATAGGTGGTGCAGCTGCCTCGCCATTTCCCTAGCTTCCCTTGATCCCCTTGACTTCTGCTTTGTGCAGCAGTGACATTTTAGCACAGTAAATGGCTCAGGGCTCAGACTGACCATGCTGTTTGCACAGACACAGAGAACAGAGCCCAGTGAGAAACTGAATACCAAGTTTTCCTTTTGACAGAAGGGAAGGTGCCTTGTCCAGAATCTCTTATCCAGTCTGTGGCAGTACTAGCTCTAAAACACAGGTCTCCCAACACAATCTCTGCACTTCTTACACTCACAGCATTGATAGCTCAGATGTTGCAGACAAAGTGAAAAGGTATTAACAGTGGCCACGGTGGGCCTGTCTTAGTAAGCTTGGGCTGCTGTAACAAATTCAAGAGACTGGGTTACTCAAACAACAGACATGTATTTCTTACAGTTCTGGGGCTGCAAGTCCAAGATCATGGTGCTGGTAGATTTGGTTCCTGGTGTGTACCCACTTTCTGGCTTGCAGATGTCACCTTTCTACCATGTCCTCAGGTGGCCTTTCTGTGGTATAACACAGAGAGAAGGAGCGCTCTGGCATCTTTACTAATAAGGACACTAACTGATCCCATCCTGGGGGCCCCACCTTCAGACTTTACCTAACCTAGTTATCTCCCCAAGGTCCCATCTCCACATACCATCCCACTGGGGGTTAGGGCTTTAGCATATGAATTTGTAGGGGGAGACATAAATATGCAGAATATAACAGGGTCCCACACCATCCTTGCTCCTTTCCTTTGTGAATTTCCTCACTTGTCAAGTGAGTATGAGAACTGAGTCTGGCCTTCTTTGTGCAGGAGAAGCTCCTGACAGAACGAGAGGTGGCTGCCCTGCAGGGTCAGCTGGAGGAAGGCCAGGAGGTACTGTGTCTCCTGCAGGCACAGAGAGCTGAGCTGCAGGCCCAGGTAGGCCCCATATCCTCTTGTCTGCTGCTTCCTGTTGGGCATTCAGCCACACATGTGAATCAGGCTCTACAACATGTTTTATTCAATGTTGGTGCATGCACAGAAGTACACTCGTATTCAGTTCAGTGATTCTCAGAAACTTAACACACCTGTGTGCCCAGCACTTATAGCTGGAAAAACACCCTGAATAATGACCAGTTGCCCTGCTGTGCCCTGGACTGAGGGGTTTCTCAGGGATGCAGACTGGAAAAGTTCTGGGCAAATGGAGACAGCGGTCACACTAATTCCGGCCCCTCAGAGGGTCCCCTGGCAACCCCTCACCTACCAAGGGTAAAGCCATCTGCATAATCTCTCTGCCTTTTTCCTAGTTTAAACTTAAACTTGTTTTAAAAAATAAGAAGAAATAGACACATGTTGGGATTTTTATCCTACACTTCCTCAGATCTGTGCTCTTTGTTTCTCTTCTCATGATGAAACATTTCCCCTTTGGGTTTTGATTACAGACCTAGGAACGGGTATTTGTGTCAGTATTTGCTCTGTTCAGAATTTGTTAGTAGAAAGTTCACAATTCCACCCCTGCCTTTTATTTGGGTGAATCTTATTTTGAAAACTGAATTCAACAGAAAAACTCAGTCCTGTTTTTGTGGTACACCATTTTGGTGACTTGGTAGTGCTTGGTTTCTTCTGAGATCCTGTAAGGGTACAGAGAAAGGGTGTGTGTGTGTTGTGTGTATTGTGTATATATGGTATGTATGTATAATGTATACCTGCACGTGTATGTGTGTAAATGTGTATGTGTATCTATGTATATGTACATGTGTGTATGTATGCACACATGTGTGTGAGAAGTCAGAAGGATTGACTGGAATTAAAAAAGAAATTGACAACACCGGACTAAGATAGTAAAGAAATAAAAAAGTGCATGGCAAGTAAAAAGGTAGGATTTGTTTTGCAAAACCTTGTTTTAAATATGTATGTGTATTTAAATGTATATATTTGTTCAAATTTACACATGTATTTGTATGGTATGTATGGTTCATGATGTAAAATGTGTTGCTTCCTGTGGCCCTGGTCATAAAGATGAAAACCACTGTTTCAGATTCTGAGAAAGGTGAGAGCCCAGCCTAATGTGGTGAAGTCTAGTTCCAGGGCAAAAGAATGTTTCTTTCTCTATGTACATATGGATAGTTGTTGAATATATAAATAAAACATTTAATAAAGGATTAACCGACTTTCTGAGAATATGAAACAAAACTCTGGTTGATTACCTGTCCTCACCTGTAGTTGCTGCAGAAAGACTTACTCATTTCACTCTGATGTTTTCTTTTCTGTGCTGTGCCCCCACACTGGTGGTCTAGTGGAGCCCCTGGACCCCTTCTCAGGAAAATATTAAAGGCATATAATAACAATAAAGTAGATATAATTAAAAGGAAACTAATGATATTGAAACAGTTATCAAAATAGTGCCAAGTCATATCTTATATAATGATACATGTGCTTATATTAAATACAGTAGTTTCTCCTTACCTGTGGTTTTACTTTCCACTATTTCAGTTGTATACAGTCATTCAACTGTGGTTAAAAATATTAAGTGGAAAATTCCAGAAAAAAACAACTTGTAAGTTTTCAATTGAGTGCTGTTCTGAGTAGTGTGACAAAATCCTGTGCCATCCCTCCCTCTCCCACCCAGGATGTGAATCATCCCATTGTCCAGAGTCTCCAAACACTGTAAGCTCTCCATCCATTAGTCATTTAGTAGCTGTCTGGGTTATCAGATACACTGGCTTGTTATCACAGTGCTTGTGGTCAAGTAACCATAATTTTACTTCATTGTGGTCCCAAAGCACAAGAATAGTAATGCTGGCAATTTGGATCCATCAAAGAGAAGCTGTAAAGTGCTTCCTCTAATTGAAAAGGTAAATGTTCAGTACTATCTGTGGTTTCAGGCACCACTGGGGGTTGTGGAGTGTATCCCCTGGTGGATAAGGGGGGACTCTGTAGCAAACTCTAGCAGCGGATCTAATGAAACACAGGTTGTATTAGTTTTCTCTTTCTGCCATAATGAATTACCACAAATACAGGGACTTAAAACAGTACTTCTTAATCTCACAGTTCTGAAGGTCAGAAAAGACTGGGCAGGCTTGATTGTTCTCTCTGCTCTGGGTCTCACAGGCTGAAATAAAGGTGTTGGCCTGCCTGGACCCCTTATCTGCAGGATCTTGGGGAGAATTGCTTCCAGTGTCATTCGGGTTGTTGGCAGAATTCAGTTCTGTGTGCCTTTAGGACTGAGGGCCCTATTTCTTCGCTGGCCTTTGGCTAGGAGTTCTTCTAGAAGCCATGCACATTCCTTGGCTATGGCCCCCTTCATCTGGAAAGCCATGGTGCCATGAGTCTTTCTTGTGCATTTAATCATTCTGACTTCTGCTTTTTAAGGGCTCATGTGATTAGAAATAGCTAGAATAATCTTTGTATTTTTTAACGTCAACGGATTGATTAAGCACCTTAACATCTGCAAAGTCCCTTTTGCTGTGTAACAAACATATTCATGAAGGTGATACTAAGGGGCAAAGGTCATGGGGACTGAAATTTTGCCTAATCAGCTTTAATTAAAATACAGATGTGTCTGGGCCTACCCAAGAGTTTCTGACTCTGTAGGACTGGGGTGTGGCCCAAGAATTTGCATGTCTGTTTCTGGGTGTTGCTGCTGGTCCAGGAACCACACTTGGAGACCACTGAAGTAAGGTGGGTACCAGATTGGGTCAGAATCTTCTACATCTGGTCTACCTGAGTGTGTGGTTTGGGCCTGCCACAGCCTTAGTCAGGAGGTGTTCATGGCTGGCTTTCTGCCAATTTAAAAAAGATTTTAGTGGCTTTACAAAGTAGTAACTCAATTGAGTGCTCAAAGACAGATTTGGTGGTGTGGCCAGCTATGATTGCCAGACTTGGTTGGTGGGGACAACCCGTTGCAGCCTGAGGGCTCCAACTGGGCAGGGCTGTGGCAGCTGGTTCTGCCTACAGTTAGGGCATATGATGCTTCCAGAACCTTCCATAGAGGCAGCCTCATGGTGAGGTCTCTGTACCAGCAGCATCAGCATCACTTGGGAACATGATAGAACTGCAAATTCATGGACCCATCCCAGACCTTCTGAACCAGGAGCTCTGTGCTGGGGCCCAGCAAACTCTGTTTCAATAGGCCCTCTAGGTATTTGTACAGGTTCAAGTTTGAGAACATTAGTCCACAGGATGAGAGAAAGCACCCATCCCTTTGGGGATGGCACTTCTTATAGGGCAGGTGCTTCTGGTTTCCTGAATTGCAGTGACTGAGAATTTCCTCAACAGGAAAGGGAAAAAAATGTCACTTGTTACTTGGAAAGTGTGAACCTCCAAGCTAGTAGGATATATTCTCATTGAAGTCCCTTAGCACCACCTAGTGGTAGGCATAGTAAGATCGTAAGACTATGTAATTAGTAAACTGGATTTGTTTTGTTTTCTTAAAAAAAACAACAACAACAAAAAACGATCTTGGACCCAAAGGAGTCTAGGACCCTAAGAAGACTGAAGCAGAAGGTTACTCCACCAGATGGGGCTCACTGCGAGGTGCTGTCCTGGGCCCCTGTCTACCCCTGCTGTGCAAAGGCAAGCCCATAGCTGTGCTTGAACACTAAATCTTTCATTGAACCTTTACTGCCAAGCTTAGGATGAAGTTCAAGTTGCCACATGGCCCACACTGTCCACCTGCCTGTCTCTGGCATTCACTTGCCTGCTCTTCTCCAAGGAGCCCTGGACTGGCTGTGGGCTGCTGTCTCTTCTCTTCTGCTCCTCTGCCTCTCTGACTCCTGCAGTTTCTGGCACCTGCCCTTTGCTCATCACTTCTCTTTCTGGAAATCCCTATTCCTCTTTAGTACCCAGGACCAGTTCCACCACCTCCTGGAAGCCTTCTCTGAATTCTTCAGTGCCACAGGACCTCTCTGTGTGCTCCATGATGCTCTGGGCATATCTTGGTGCCTGAGCTGCCTTCCTCACTGGACTGCGGCCTCCTACAAGGAGGGTCCATGTCTCATTCTCCAACAGACAGGCTGGTGCTGGATGGTGTCTGATTCCTGTGCTGAGGTTGTTCACATCAGAGACATTGCCTTAGCCCCCTTGGGGCTGGTGAAAGTGGGGCTCTTACTATTTTTCCTAAACACCTCTCCTTCTGAAGAATAGTTTAAATGACTGAGCTATAAAGACCACGTTGATGTGGACGTAAGTCCAGTTTTATAAACCTGGTCAGCACTTCTTCGGACTGTGGAATTCTGGTTTACTTAGGCAGAACCATGCAGAGTACCAGTGCTGGTCACAGATTGGAAGTTTTCTGCAGAGCCTCCCTACCAGGGCAGGTGATCCTCTTACCAACTCCATCACAGGACAGCCAGCAACCAACCACCAACTCATGAGATAGACGAAAGATCATGCTTGTTCTGATGGTACAAAGATTATAGATGACATTTTTCTAGTTTCTAATTTCCCAATTTGTGACAACACTTAGCTATCCTATTTATGGTTTAAAAGTTTGCTAAGTGAACACACTTAGGGAGGGGTCTGATGGGGTTCTCCCTGAATCACCTGTGTCTTCTGTGAGAGCAGGCTGGTGATGCTTGCCTGTCAATCTGTGGGAAGGGGGAGTTTTCCCTGGGCCTTGGAGTGTGTGTGTGTGTGTGTGTGTGTGTGTGTGTGAGAGAGAGAGAGAGAGAGAGAGAGAGAGAGAGAGAGAGAGAGAGAGAGAGAGAGAGAGAAAAATGCATACTGCTTGCCTACAGCTAGGAGGATGCCTAGGCAGCAGGGTCCATGATTTCCAGAAGTGTCTCAGCCTGTACAGGTGGGTCTGAATCCCACTACCTATGTACCTCAGTTTCCTTATGTGTAAAGTGGAAATAACAACTGCCTTTGGGTGCTGATGCAGGTGTAAAGAGAGGGAGCTCAGTTTGCACATTCCTCTTTGGCTTAATGATTCCAAAATGATTCCATTGCTGATGAGAAATAAGCAAACAAAATACATAAAACTTGACATGCTGAGTCCAAATGTTCCCTGTCAAGTGTGGGTCTTAAATGAGAGGATGTGATGCATTTTCTTACAACTGTCTTTGCCCACAGACAGCAATGCTGGAACAAGCTATTAAAGATGCTCATGAGTGCTATGAAGATGAGATTCAGCTGTATAATGAACAGATTGAAACCCTGCGGAAGGAGATTGAAGAGACTGAGAAGAGCCTGGAGAAGTCTTCCTGTGACTGCCGGCAGCTGGTGGTCATCCAGCAAACCCTGAAGAATGAGCTGGACCGGTATCATCGGATCATTGAGAACGAAGGCGACAGGTGTGGTCACTAGGGGCACAGCCGAGAGGTTGCCTTTTTCTCCATGCTGCTTACTTACTTGTGCCACACATTCTTGCTGAGTGTCTCCTGTGTGCCAGTTCTAGGCAGTGGAGATATAGCAGGGAGTGGAACACAAAAATTCACGACCTCATGGAGATCAAATACAGATGATGAATGAATTTGTAATGGGAAGGATGACCTATGACAAGAGCTGTGAAGGAAATTATGACAGGGAAGAGGGAATGGAGATGGAGTGATGGCGGGACTGTTTGAAATCTTGAGTTGGGCAGTCAGAAAAGGCCTCATGGAGAAGGCTACTTTTTGCATGACAGGTCTCTGGGGACATAGTAGATAGGGAGACCAGGAGTGTTTAAAGAGATGCTGCAGATGAGGTTCCTAGCACAGTGCCTGGTACTTCACAAGTGCTTCGAGGTGTTGGTGTTATTCCTGCTACTGCAAGCATGACTTTTACCACCTGGTTGGGTCTGTAAGGTGGCCATTAGTATGCTATCTGGTCTTGTCCATAATGGAGCTGTGGCTTGAACTCTACTCACTTGAGGCTGGGAAATAAATATCTGTCTATCTCTACCTTTGTCTCTATGTAACTGTACATCATCTACATCTAAATTTATATCTGGATCTACACCATTTACATGTATGTGTACATTTATGCCCACATCTACATTACCTACATCATCTACATCCATGTCTGTATCATCCACACCTATACCTATTGATATATCATCTATATCTATGTGTATACCTACACTTAAACTTACATCTGCATAATCTACATCTATATCATCTATTCTTATACCTACATCTATATTATCTATATGTATGTCTAAACACTACATTATCTACATATGTATCATCTATATTATCTACAATCAGATCCTCTTAGTCTATACCTATACCTACACCTGTATCTACATCATCTATGTGTGCATCTGCACCTACAACTACATTATTTACATTTACAACTATATTATCTATACTTACATCATCTCTACTCACACCTAACATTAGGGAACACGACTTCATATAAGACTTCTGATTCTCTACTACGTTGTGATTCTTTGATTTGTTCTTGTTGATATTTTAGAGTGAATTAAAATAGAAGCACCCCAAAGTACTCCACAAGGAATGGTTTTTTCTTTTTTTCTGGGTTTTCTGTCTTGGCTGTGAGTACTTGAATTTTTAACAGGAAAGCAAGGCTTTTTTTCTCTCATTATGATCAATATATCCTGCATAATTCCAAATTATATTTTCATCACAGTGAATGCTTTATGCACACATTTATGAAAAGAAGTCTTGAACAGGTGTTTAAATGTTGTTGTGAATATTTTTGTTTTGGAGGTAGAGCTTCACAATAAGGTAACTGGATATACCTTTTGTTGGTTTGTGTATAACTTCTAATTTTAATATACTGATTTCAGATTGATAGGAGTGTTGCGAGAATAAAACAAGGAACTCCTGAATACTCTTTACTCAGATTCACCAGTTGTTTATATTTTATCTCAATTGCTTTATCTTTTTTCTCTTTATTTATATATAATGCATATTATTTAAAAAAAAAACAAATTGGAAATAGCATACCCTGGTTGTTCTAAATAGTTCAGCCTGGGATGACCACTGTTTTATTTAAAAAAAAAAAAACAATAACAGCAGCAACAACAAAAAAACCCTGTTCAACATAGAAGTGACGTTTGAGATTATAAGCAATCCCTACTTTACAATTTTTCTGTGTGTTTCACAGTTTATGACTTGAGCTCAAAGAAACAATTATTTCCTTTACATCCTCATCCAGTGTATAAATGGGTATGTGGTTCACCAGAAGTTTGATCTAGAGAAAGGTTTTCTCCTTTTTGCCCATATTAGAGGGCCACTGTTAACCCCTAACCATCTGTTGGCTTGATGAATTAAAGATGGTGACCACCTCTTTCTGGTTCTTTCTGCTAGGCTGAGCTCTGTCTTCATGGAAACACCTGTCACTCTCTTCACTATGGGCCATGGAGTTTCCTGTAGCCCTCAACCTGGTGGGAAAGGTAATGCTCCCCAGCCTGGCTTCTGCTGTTTTCTGCTCTTGAAAAAATGGAACAAAATTAGGTGGCTTTCTTCCTGAACTTAACATTCATGCTTCCTTCTAGTCTACCAGGAAATTAAACACTTTTAGATGGGGTTTCCTTCTCCCTCTCTCTGATGTACTCCTACAGGTGCTAAGGGACTGAGCCAAAAAGTTCACAGGAGGAAAATCTGACTGGGGGACGGACCACCCTGGGAATGCCATCCCCAAATAGGAAGCAGAGTACATGCTCAAAGATTGCTCATTTTCTTTTCTGTTCACAACTGAGCAGAGGTAGCTTGGTTGGCAAGTGTGGCTTTTACCTTCAGCATTTGGTCCTTTGGGGATGGTTTCGCCTACCTGTGGGATGTCTTCTCACAGCTAAACCTCCCCAGTCCTGAACTAACACAGTGTTCTGGGAGAAGAGAAGGTGGCAATGTTAGTTTTCCATTCTTAGAGTGCCTTCAGGTCCCTGTGTCTCAGAAAGCTCAGAGAGATTTGTGGAAATGAGGTTTCAGAGCTAGAAAAATCAGAACACTGTCAGAAAGGTCAGCAGTTCCTAGTCCCCATATACCCAAGGCCAATGCCAGGGCTGCATGGCCTATGCACATGGTGCTATACTCACAAGAATTCCTGCACTGGGCTTACTTCTCTGCTATTGGTGTCTTGACATTCTTAATCATTTTGAAGAGGGGGCCTGACTTTTCCTTTTGTATGGGGCCCTAAAATTCTGTAGCTGGTCCTGCAAGCACCCCCTTCTTCAATATTTGCTCTCCGCTGGTTCTCTTTGATGTGACCTTTTCTGTATCCCTTCATTCATTCCTATGGCTTCATGGCCCCTCCTGCCATTTCCTGTTCACTCTGCCCTCTCACCATAAGTCACACTAGATGCCCTTACATTGCCTTAGTCCTCTGCTGAACAGAGGGAGGGGATGGAGAAGATCTTTGGGATGAACAAGTTAAAAAAAAATCATTGCCCTGGCTGGTGTCACTCAGTGGATTGAGTGCCAGCCTGTGAACTGAAAGGTCTCTGGTCTGATTCCCAGTCAGGACACATACCTGGGTTGGGGGCCAGGTCCCCAGTAGGAAGTGTGGGAGAGGCAACCACACATTGATGTTTATCGCCCTTTCTTTGTTCCTCTCTTGCCCACCCTCTCTAAAAATAAATAAATAAATAAATAAATAAATAAAATCACCATGTGAGTGAAGCAGAAAAGCCTCATGGATGAGGCAGGGTCCTATTTTGTATGTTTTCTTAAACTTTTAGTTTTTCCTTTTAGCTAGTCTGAGGAAATAAATATGGCCTTGGTAATAGGGGGTTCCTATTAGTTCTTAATTTAATAGCATTGCTTCCCCTTTTTACCCTGGCTAAGGGGATGCTAATTAAGGGGTGGTCACATTTATTTAGCTTGGGATACATGTGGAACAAGAGATTGTGGATTGATATGATTCCCATGCCTGAAGCCACTTTGGATATGTTAGAGGCCCAGACAGTTCTGCTGTCCTCTCTTCTTTGGGGAAGTCCAAGGTGGGAATAATTTTATGGAATAGATTTACATCATCTAGTCAAGTAGCCACTACAAGAAGGGGTCTGGGGTGGGGAGGAAGTGTTGCTCTCACCAAGTATTTTTTCAGCAGAATCATGTATCTCAGCAAGTTGTGCCTGGTGGGATGGGAACTGTGAGAGTCAGAACAAGCAGCATCTTCACTTTTTTCTACAAGCCCAGAGGGGTCAAGTGACTTGTCTAAAGTCACACAATTGGTTGCAGAGCTGGGTCATTAACATGGGCCATGGATGTTACAGATCTATACCTCTTTCCCCATGGCTTTGCTCCATAAATAGTAAACCCATCCCAGTGCTGGGCATTGGTCTCTTAGACAGGTAGCATAATTTTCAATGCACACATTTTCTTTCTTTTTCATTACCATTGTATTTGATTCATTGCCTATTTATTTTTAAATTTTATTTATTTATTTTTAAGATCTCACCAGGGCTGTGCAGGATATAACAACAGCAAAACCAAGACAAAGAGGCCTCCCCAAGAATGTTCCAAGGAAAAAGGAGATTATAGCTAAAGACAGAGTAGATGAAAGTTTGGAAGGTGTACCACTGAAAGGTCTGGAAGACACAGAGCTGGTGCAGGTGGTAGTTGAAGAAGAAGGAGAATCTAAGCTTGAATCAGGGGATGAAGAAGCAAGTCCCCCTGCCCCAGAAGGGACTCCAGAGGATGTGCCAGATGGAGGGCAGATAAGCAAAGCCTTTGGGAAGCTCTCCAAGATGATCAAGGAGAGAATGAGAAGCCCCAAGGAGCCTGAGCCCACAGCTGACCTCTACACTAAAGGGCGGTACGTGCTAGTCATGGGGGATGCCAGTTATATGGACCCTGGATTTTGTTCATTGGCTGTCCCGACCAAGGGTAGAGTACTTGTTTCCATTGAGGACAACTCTCTGCATCATGACAGTGCTGTGGAGCCCTCTCCCAAGCAGTCTCAGCCCCCTCTGGAGGATGGACAGGGGAGTTCATGCCCACCCAGTCAGCATACTGCAGACAATGAGATAAACAGTGAAGAACTGAAAGGTCCTGGGGAGAAGCATGGCAGTCAGAATGAGGAGGAAGGGCCCAGGAAGCCTTGTCTTGTGGTCAAACCTGGCCCAGAGGAACCATCTGCACCCCCACCACAAAGGCCTGGGGCGAGCCAGGGTGGATTTGAAGGTCAGGAGGATAGGAACAGCAGCCTGCAAGAGAGAAGCCCTCCCAGGACTTTGGCATATGAGAAGGTGGAAGTGATGGAATCCATTGAGAAGTTTTCAGCTGAGAGCATTCAGACATATGAAGAAACCACTGTAATTCTGGAGACCATGATTGGAAAGACAAAGGCAAACAAGAACCTGGGAGACCAGGGCTCTCACAATGCCTAGGCTTATTGGAGAAATGTCTCTGGGCCACGCTGTACGGGAAGTGCTTTGATGTTGTAGAACAGATGCTAAAGAGTGAAGGTTCCCGTTTGGATTAGACCATAGTTGGCCTGTTTGGTATTGCCAAGGAAGCCTTAATTAAAAAGTGTATTTTGCTTGCATGTCATTTGTCTAATTAACAAGGGCCTTGGGAATGTAGGTGGATCAACCATGCTCAGGACAGGTCGGTCTGTTAAATGGCAACCAAACCATGCTCATTTAGGAAAGAGACATGCCCTTCCTCATGGTTTTCTGAGACTCATTAGAGACTCAGACAGTGCCTGGATTTCACACAGAAAATGCTAGTTAATGGCAGTGGCTCATTTTCATTGTATTTCAAGCCCAAGCACATGCTCATGTGGAGGAATGTGTTGTTAGAGGTAAAATGATTGACGTTATCTGTCATAGTTTGGGTTCCCCTAGAAGCTAATCCTGAAGCAAGGCTTTGAATGTAGTTTCTTAGGGATATGATCTAAGGAAGTACCCATAGGGCAGTGGAGAGGGAGACAGGGAGAGAAGGCTGCCAATAAGAGCTGTGCTACCAGGTTGGTTAGCACTGTGGGCAGCTAGCTGGAGCTCAGTCCCTCCTGAGGGACTCTGGGAGATGACATAGACCATGTGCCACAGAGCTATCCTGTCTGAGGGGTGAGGGAGTGGGGTTTTCATCCAACAGCTTCTGTTAGCCACTGGGGAGGGCTGCTCCCAGAGGGTTAACATGCAAATACATGGAAATGGAAAAGGTCATGGGGATATAAGCAGGACACCAGTGTTGTCTGCCATAGCATATGTTCCAAATGTCCTTTTGTCTGACTTCAAATTTTCTCATTCAGAGATTACAATCCTAGGTCAAGTTTCAAAAGACAAAATCAAATGTCACCTCATAGTTTCTTGTTTGGAGTTAATTTATCCAACAAGCATTTATTGAGCATATACTATGTGCCAGACAGTGTGCTATGCTGATAAGGGGAGACTTACTGATTTATTAATAATGATCATAATAAGTAAGCTGTGATGTAACTGTCTGTGCACTGTCTGTGTACATATGCACACACGCACACATGTGCACACAGGGGCCTACTGTGTCATGTCCCAGGAAATGGAAATTACTCTAAATCAGAATATTTACAGAAATTTTTATGTTGTCTTTAGATATCTATTTTTCTACAAACAGTCCAAAAGTAATTTTTTATTGACACTGATTAAGGAAGTACTCCTTCCCTGTGTACATTCCCAAAATACATTAAGGGCACTGAATAAATGTGCTTAGATGGATTAGTGCATCTGCTGAAACAAAAGCATCTTCCAAGACAACTACATATTTTTAGAGAAAAATTGATGGAGTCATAAGTTATGTTCTCTTATTTCTTTGTTACGGACAATAGAGAGAATATTAAATGGCATCACCTTTCCTTTCTATTTAGAGCTTTAAAAAATCATATTCTGGATTTATTTGAGGTTTTGATTTCAAGAACGAAATATGCTTTTGTTCTTTTTAAAAGATGAATGGAAAAATTACTGCATTACAACATTTTAAAATATTCACAATTTAAAAGCTTAAGAGAGAATGATGGAAACCATTAGCTGGAGTCCAGAATGTACTAGGAATCTAGGAATTTGGGTTAGTGTGTGTATGTATATATACACATACATATACATTTATATGATGTGTATAAAATTTGGCATAAGCCACTGTAAACCTTTTTGTTTTCCCCATGAAGTTTTTTTATTTTTTGGACTATGTATTTAGTTAATATTTTTATTTAAAAAGGCAGGGGTATCTTTTGGGAAAGAAAGATGATTTATATATTTAATCAATCATCAAACATGAATTGAGGGCATGTTCTGGGTCAGGCATGATTCTGGGCACTGGGGAGACAACAGCAAGCAATCAGATGTGGTTCTGCCCTCACAGACATGACATTCTGGTGGAAGGAAGCAGATAACTGAGTAAGAGAAGATTAGATGGAGACAATACCATAAAGGACATCAACAGAGTGATGTGTAAGAGTGACTGGGGGTCTACTTTGGATTGGGTGGTCCAGTGAAGACCACGTGGGTGAAGTGACATGTGATCCAAATGACAAGATGGGCCAATCATGTGCAAATAGCATTTCAGGCAGAGGGATTGGCTAGTGCAAATGCCCTGGGGCAGGAATGAACTTAGCCTGTTCAAGGAGAGAAAATAAAGGGGTTTGCAGGAGGACAATGGAAGGAGGTGAGGTCAAGGAGGGAAGTGGGGACCTGTAAACACCATATCCTGGAAGGCTTGCTTCCACCTGAAAGCTAGTCTCTCAGTGTGAGCTGTGGAACTGCCTGCAGTAGATGCACTGGAGTCTAGTTGGCTGTTCATCCACCCTGGAGCTCCAGTTGCTGCTACTCCACTTTTCCTGATATATTTGGTTTTTCCCAAGAGAGCTGCAATGGGTTCATTTCCTGGCCATGTCCCCTCCCTGAGGTCTCTGAAAACAAGCACTTTAGTTTTATAAAAAGTATTTCTTGTTAGGAAATATGGAGGCTCAGAGCTGGCTTGCCAGTATGATTGATGACAAGAGAATGCTGAGCTTTGACCAGCCCTGATATAGCTGAAGTGAAAGTACATAGGTGCCTGGTCTTAACTGTTGTACCAGAGGCCCCTGGCCTCCTCTTTCTGACTCAGCCTCAAGTCCAGCACTGATGATCTCCAGAAGCTGCCTCCCCATGGAAAAGCTGTGTCCCAGCTCTTCACCTCTCCCATTCTCCAAGCGTTCCAGTTGAAGACCAACAACTGTTGTATCAGCTGTCCTGGGTGCTGACCCCCCAGATCCCCCACAACTCTCACTGTTCTGGTTCTTGCCTAGGCACCCAGGGGCTCCAAGCCCACCTTTCTATACACTGGTGCCAGGCTGGAACCTGCTAGCTCCTTCCTGCTTTGCCAGTGTCTTCCTGGTAGGGGAGAGTGAAGGTCTGGAGGAGGGAGAAGGGACTTGTCCCCTTTGCCACAGCAGCACCTCTTCACTCACCAGCGGTAGCACTTCATATAACAGCAGCAGGATCCATTTTTCAGTTTTTCCAACATTTGCAGAACCGGCCTCATAATCATCTCCTTAGAGATGCCTACACCAGCTAGATGATGCCTCTTCACAGAGGTCTGGGTTGTTCAGGGGCTGCCACATGTGCTCCCTCTCTACCCACAGGAAGGAAAGGTGAGTCAGGATGTGGTGGCCCTACCTCAGCATGAAACTTCACAAACCCAGGACCCCGGCATGATCCCAGCAAGCTTCTGACTCCCGCCTGCTTGTATTAGGTTGCTTGGTCCTTGTGATACTGTAGTTTTCTTTTACCTTTCTAATTAAGTAGGTGGTACTTCTTTAAACTACTCAGTTTATGGGGTTTTATATTTAATTCTCTCTGTTAACATCACTGCTGGGATTTCTGTCTCCTGACTGGTGAAGGAAGGGGCATGAAACAGGGAAGTGAGGTGCCAACAAAGGCAGTATTAACCTGCTGACATGGCTGTGGGCAATTGGGATTTCCTCCCACTGGAGACCCTGTTAAGAGACCTGGTAGATGTCTCAACAGAAGGCAAGGAAGCTGAGATCTTTCTGCACCAGCTCTGTCCTTCAGGTGAAGTGGTCCTGGGGCATTGATCTTCTGGCTTGTCTTCCTGTAGCACACCAGGCCTGGTGCATCTCCGCAGCTAGAGAACACCCCAGCAGAGAGAGAGAGCACATTGGCATGTATGAAACTGTGTGCAGATTATCTCTGGGGTGGGCCAAGGAGATACTGGGTTGGCCAAAAAGTTTGTTTTTTTCAATAGATGGCTCTAGTAGCCCTTAGTTGTCTTTAACTTCATTTGAAACAGTTTTGTAGATTGCATTGTGACAGCTGTCAAATCAGCATGCATTAAAAACACTTATCAAAATTGGTGAATTTTTCTGTAGCCATTTTAATATTGAAGATGGAAGAAAATATGCAACATTTTGCCATATTATGATTTATTATTTCAAGAAAGGTAAAAACATAGCCCTGGCTGGCGTAGCTCAGTGGATTGAGCGTGGGCTGCAAACCAGGCATACCAGGTTCGATTCCCAGTCAGGGCACATGCCTAGGTTGCAGGCCACGGCCCCCAGCAACCACACATTGATGTTTCTCTCTCTCTCTCTCTCTCTCTCTCTCTCTCTCTCTCTCTCTCTCTCTCTTTCCCTTTCCCTCTCTAAAAATAAATAAATAAAATTTAAAAAGAATAAATATTTTAAAAAGAGAGAAAGGTCCCACACAATTGAAATTAAAAAAAAAGTTTTGTGTAGTGTATGGAGACTGTGTTGTGACTGAGCAAATGTGTCAAAAGTGGTTTGCAAAGTTTCCTGCTGGAGATTTCTCTCTGGATGATGCTCAATGGTTGGGTAGACCAGCTGAAGTTGATAGTGATCAAATGAGACATTAACTGAGAACAAATTAATGCTCTAACACATGGGAGAGAGTGGACATACTTGAAATATCCAAATCAATGAAGTTATTGGTAAAAATAAAAAATGTGTCTTTTATTTTACAGAAAAAAACATAGGGACTTTTTGGCCAACCCAATAGCTATAGGGCAGAAGTAGGCAAACGTTTGGTATAAAGGGCCAGTTTATAGGTTGTACAGTGTCTGTTATAACTACTCAAGTCTGCCACTATAGCATGGAAACAGCCACAGACAATTAAAAAAATAGGCATGATTGTTTCCAGTAACACTAATCCCGAGAATAGGCAGCATGCTGGATTGAGTCCCTGGGTTGTAGTTTGCTGATCTTTGATGTAGGTCATGAACCAACAGGGTCTAATGCAAAATTCAATTTACATAACAGAAGATACTTCTAACCTGGCAACTCTTCCTTTCTTCCCCCCTGATGTTGGGAAGTTCCACTGAAGTCTCTCCTTGACTTGAAGCTTATAAGAAAGGATCTTCAAGCCATCATTATATTCAAGTTTATACTAAAATTGTTGTATCATAGGTTTGTAGTTGGGATGTTACTGGTCAATGAAGTCACCTTAAACTCACATGGCATTTGGCACATTGATGATGGAGGACACCATTTAGGTGCCTAGATTAGCACAAATGCTTGACTCCAATTTCTCATGCTTGGGTAAAAGCAAATAGATG